ACATCAAATAAATTAGAATATCAAACCTTTGACAGACTTTTTATTCTTTCCTTAACCATTCTCAAATATAGTATTGATATTGACACTTGTCAAATAACTATAATTTATTGAAGGATTAATAGTGTAATTAATTCTTTGATATCCAATGAACTCTTGTTTTATGATTTGTCAATTGTGAAACCTCGAAAGGGGCAATATTTTCAAATCTTTGATTAAACATTTTTCAAAACTCTTTTAATTGATATTTGCATACTTTTGAAAATAAAAGAAGAAGAAAAACATTTTTAAACAAGACAATCTCTCTAGAGTAGATCTTGGTAGCTGACATGTGGCTCTCAGACACAAAGCTGATGCTTAGAATCAGTGTTGAAGCAATCAACATCAAATATTGGGGCATCTTTGAAGCAATCAACATCGACTATTGGGGAATCTTTGAAGCAATCAACATCGAATTTTGGGGCATCTTTGGGGATTCAACATCCTGATGTGAACAATCAGATCTTCTGAAGGCATTTCCTCCACCAGTAGGAAGAAGCCAACTATCACTATTCTTTGAATTGTTTCTCTTGAAACAAATTTTGTCTCTCGAGATAGTTTCTTTTGAAAAAAATCTTTGAGTTTGTTTCTCTGGAAACAAAGTTTTGTCTCTTGAGACAATTTCTTTTGAGAAAAATCTTTGAGTCTGTTTCTCTGGAAACAAAGTTTTGTCACTCTTGAGACATTTTCTCTTGAAACCAACCTTTGAGATCATTTCTATTGAAATGAATTTGTCTCTTTTGAGACAGTTTCTCTTGAAGCATTATCTATGAGTCAGTTTCTCTTGAAACCGTTATCCCTAAAGATGGCCTACCATCCTCATCACGTAGGAACCGTGTCATCCCCCGACCAGACTTCCTCATCACGTAGGAGTCGTGTCACCCTTTATAACCACCCGTCCTCATCTTGTGGGAATTGTGTTATCACCTTACCTAAAGATGGCCTGTCATCCTCGTCGCGTAGGAACCGTGTCATCCCCTGACCAGACCTCCTCATCACGTAGGAGTTATGTCATCCTCATAACCAGCCGTCCTCATCACATATGAACCGTGTTATCATTCCTAAAGATTGTCTTCTGTCCTCAAAACGTAGGAACTGTGTCATCCCCCAACCAGACCTCCTCATCACGTAGGTGTCGTGTTATCGCTCTTCCTAAAGATGGCCAGAACTCTTCATCACCTATGAGTCGTGTCATCCACCGACCAAATCTCCTCATCACGTAGGAGATGTGTCACCCTTAGATGACCAGACCTCTTTATCACGTATGAGTCGTGTTGTCCCCAACACAAACATATCCAATTTTTAAACCAAAAAATAAGAACCGGACAAAAACTTGTTGTCTTTTTTCATCTTTGCCCTATTCTTGTTAACACAAGAATGTGCAAAGAGGTCCAGCTGTAGACACTCATTTTTGTTCGGGTCTACCAAAAATATTATTACATTATAAATATTAATTTTGTTATTATTATTATTATTAGTATTACAAATGTACATTTTTGTTTAGGCCCACTGGAACCCAAATTACAAGCTACTCAGGCTACCCGAGGCCCATTACATCAGCCCAATAACCAAGCATGCCCAATACACCCAAGACCGAGCAACACAGGACCCAAAACCCAATTGGTTCAACCGACTCGATTGGATTCGGCCCGAGACCCGAACTAGCCCACTGGACAACCCAACAGATTAGGATTTTACTTTTGGCTTCAACTGCCTCTCTCTATGACCATTGTATCGGATTTGATCTAACAGTCCAAGCAGCCCAGATTAAGATTTCAACCCTAATTTTCTTCCAGCTCAGCCGCCGCCGCCAATGACAAAGCATCTTCCCAGCCGAGCTTCCCCTTGCCACTGCTGCCATCGAGTCGTTCTTATCCACACAGTGACCGAAAACTCTTCGAACAGTGACAACCACCACATCAATCAGAAAAATCAATCCAAGTCAGAGAGAAAAATAAACATAAATGGAGACAAGTACCAAAGATATCCCAAAAGAGATTTAAGTTCTGTCACTACCTTATCTCCTCGTTGGTAGCAAACAAATCAGAGGGATTGGCATGCAACCATGGACTCGGATAGAGAGGACCATTCATAAGGGGGAGGATAGAAAAGAAAAACCCATTTGGGGTTTCAAAAAAATATAGAGAGAGAATTGAAAAAAAGAACCCAAAAAAAAAAGAAAAAAACAAATCGAAAAAAATCACCAGAACTGAAGAAAAAAATAGAGAGAATGGATCTCACCTTGGTTCGAAGTTATGGAAGCCCTAAAGGTCGTCGTTTTCCATATCTTTTAAAAGGTACAACGCTAGATCTATGGCTTTCGGGGTGGCTTTAGGTTAAGATGGTTTGATATTTGGGTTAGGGGTAAGGAGGAGAGTGTTCTGGGAGTTTTTTACTCCCTCCGACCGTCGTGGAATGGAGCCAGTGGGCGGTGGCCCCTCTCGTCTCCGATGAGGAGTTGAGAGAAAATTTTTATTCTCTCTCTTCCTCTGTTTAAAGGGATTGAGCCAAATGAGAAGTTAGGGAAGAAAAGCCCTTTGGTTGGGCTTATATATTATCAATGAAATGATGTCGTTTATGAGGGACCTTCTGTGTGTTTTTAACGGTTGGATTAATTGCATTCTAGGTCCCTCCTCGTTTGTATTTTGTTATTTTGGTCATTAATAAAATATATGATATTTTACTTTGGGCATTTATCTTTCGATATTTATGATTTAGTCACTGATTTCATGAATCATGATATTTTCTTTGACATTCGAATTTGGCCACCATATTTGCAAATATTCTATTTTAGTCAATGTTTGGCAGTTGGTTTAATTACTATTTACTACTTTACGTTTTTGGTTTATTTTATTTTAGTCTTGTATATTATTTATGGGTTATTTACATTTCTGGTGCTTGTATTATTTAACATTTGAGATTTGGGCTCTGGTTTATCTTGTAATTAATATTTAGCCATTTTAGTTTCTGTTAATACCATTTTAGTTTTAGTTTTTGCCACTTTAGTCATTTAACTTTCTATATTTATTTTTCAGTCCTTTAAATTTTTGTTAATCATATTTTAGTCCCTTAAATGCTTATTTTTTGTATTTAATTTTGGTTTGTAATTTTTACTTATTTTTACTTTAGTCATTTGTGTATGAATGTATTTTACATATTTTATGGTTATGTGTATTATGTAAGTAATGTTTTTAGTTCCATTTAATGTAAACATGTTATTTTGTATTTTTTTTATCACATTTATTTCCATTGCATTTTATCCATGGATGAAATATTCGAATTTTCAAGAACACGTATTTGTAGAACGGGCGTAGAAAGTATCACTTGATTGAAGTGGTACAATCCGATACGACATTCGAACAAATGTGCACTTGAAATAAAATAGATTTTATTTTGCTAATTAATTCTTTGTATTTTAAGTTGAACAATGCGATGCATATTACTAAATAGAGATTTATTTTTATGAAAAAATAGATTTTATTTTTATATTCGATTCACATTTTTTTAAATCAATTATGAGGGAATATTCTTTTACTGATAAGAAATAGTAGAGTTAGCTTTCCCGATGGAGGATTGTTAATTTCGAGATTTCTTTTCATGTTAAAGAATTTTCTCTAATTTATTAATTCGAAGCAAATTAATCAATGTTCGATAAACGGATTATATTTTAACTTTATATTCGATTCCTAATTTCCACCATTTACAACAACGTGTAAGCGACACAATACCAATTGTGGGCGTTGTGGGGTGCTAATTCTTCCCCACACGTAGTCGACTCTCGAACCCGTTTTAATAGAATCTTTGTAAATGCAGACAAGTTTTTTTTGTCTAAAAAATAATTTTTCTTAAAATTATTTTTAAAAGACGTTTTTAGATATTCGACCTGCCTAACCCAAAGGTCGATTTCGACTCTATCTAATTTAATTCAAATTTATACAAATCACTCAATTTTTCCAAATAAAGTCATAATCATTTTTTTAAATAATATTTAATTATTTTTTCAAAAAAAATGATTATGACAATATATATATATATATATATATATATATAATTGGTGATGAAAATATATTTTCCTATATTATTGACCCAAATGTCCATACTGGAAGTTATGTGTCTTATACGGGTCAGAAAGATGACGTGTTTTATAAAAATTCTTTGAAGATGTTAAAATTGTCTACGGATGAAATGAGGCATGAACATCACATTAGCATCATACCTTACGTATTTATTATTATAATACACCAGATGCAATTCCAGAGAAAATGAATTGCCAAATGTTAATTATTACAATATTAACTATAAAAATCATTATTATATTTGATAAGAATGATGTATGTATTTTGTTGGCTTAAACTAAAAAAATTCTTAAATTGCACGAATTAACTTACCTCAATGGTTAAAAGAATTATTGATGTTTATATAGGTTATAAGTTCGAGCACCAACGATTGCAAGGATGATTGAACGCTCATTATCAAATGGTTGATAATATTAAGAACACAGACTACTTTATAATTACCTTAGCTTAATAAAAAAGAAATTCTTAAATTATTTTTTATCTCTTAAATTATTTTTTAAAATTAAATTCTTAAATTATTTTACGTCTTACCATTTTCTTAGTTAAAAATTTATTTTGACTTGAGATGTTGACATATCATATAAAGTTAGATACTTGTCTTGACTAGAAAGGAATTTAGATGTTTAAAACAAAAATAATTACATAGTTTAGATATCTATTTTAATTAAAAAATAATTTAAATATTTAAAATGATTACATATAGTAATTTAAAGGTTTGCTTTAACCAAAAATTAGTTTAAAAACTTAAAGATGAAAAACGATATAATTAGGGTTGTAAATAAGACAGATAGATGGTGAGTTACTTGAGTTGTCTCTTTTGTTTATCTCATTTCTTTGCTTCATCTTTTAGAAGATTTCTCGTTGTAAGTCTTTCGGATCATCGGTAAGTCTTAATCTCATGATATTCTGGGATGGATGCCATAAACGGTGTGCAAGCAGGTTGGCTAGAGGTTGTCTACGTTGAGTTTGCTTTTTGTTCTGCTCTATTTCTCGGTGCTCTTAAAGGTCCTTTCTCGTTTCTCTTTTACCTTCTCTTGATGCTGTTTGAGAAAAATAAGGTTCTTTCATGGTGTTCTTGACTCTATGTTATTTTTTCCATTGGATGTTTCCCAGGTTTACTTGTTGGACCTATTGCTGCTTTGATACTGATAATAGGAAATTTGGGGGTCATCATTGGATTGTTACCTGCACATATTGCATGGACTGTGTACAAAATCATAAGGTTCATTTCATCGACATAGATTCGAACTTGTCGAAATTTCGGGTTGTGATTTCGGGGATCCAGGTTCCATTTTTTTGACCTTGGGTTGGTAATTGCAAGTATAATAGATGCGATGCACCCATTAAAGTTGCTATATTGATTGTTTTGCCTATTTTATTCGTGTAGACACTCATTTTCGTCCATATATTTTTTATTTTTTACATATATATATATATATATATATATATATATATATTATAGTTTGCAAATGGTTTTTGGAAATACGTATATAATATATAATTTTTAAAACATTTTGAAAATATATATAATATAGTTTTTAAAACATTTTGAAAATATATATAATATAGTTTTTAAAACATTTTGAAAATATATATAATGTATAGTTTTTAAAACATTTTTAAAAACTATATAATATATAATTTTTAAATCATTTTTGAAAATATATAGTTTTTAAAATCATTTTTTAAAATTTATATAATATATAGTTTTTAAAACATTTTAAAAACATACATATAATATATAGTTTTTAAAAATCTTTTTGAAAACTTATATAATATATAGTTTTTAAAAAATATTTTTAGAATATATATATAATTTTTTGAAAACATTTTTAAATATGTATAATATATAGTTTGAAAATGTTTTTGAATTTTTGGAAACATTTTTAGAATATATATAATATATATTTGTTTTTATTATTTGTTTTATTTTATTTTATTTTATTTTTTCTTTTATTTGTTTTTATTTATTCTTTTTTTTCAGGTCCAAGTCCAAGGCCCAATATGTCCAAAACGGGCAAGAGCCCCAATCTGTTCGAGTCCAACATCGGCTAAGTGGGCATGTACCAGTCCAAGTCCATTAGGGTTTGAAAAACCCTAACATAAATAGTCAACAGGTCAACGGCGCTGCAAGGGATCAAACCAACGGCCAGCGTATTTTTCGGTCACAGCAACGAGACTGAACCATCCCAAGGCGACGGGTATAAGATGCACAAAGATCTTGGAATGGCCAACAAACCCCGACCATTTCGGGACCAAGCAACCAACACCGGGGCTATAAAAAGCCCCCGGTGAGACACAATCGGGAGAACAACATCATTGACGGAACCCACGAGTAAACTGAGAACCAACGATGACAACAAACACAAAAAAACCAAGCAACAATGAGAAGCAAAGCCACGGTGAACATCACCGAACATCAACAGTAAATCAAAAAACCAACAAAACCAAGAGCCAAAACACCATCATCAAACCGAATCATCGAACCAAAAAACCATCGAAACAAAAACCACACAAAATACAGACAAAACCAAGCAGGAGATCAAAAAGTACAAAAGTTTTTTAAGGAAGTTTTTTAAGGATATCATAAAAAGCCGAGGACTTTCGTCGAGGTTGCGTTGGGAAACGAAGGGTCGTGTCAGAGAAGGTAAAGATCGAAGCTTTGGATCTAGATCTACTCCGATCTAGACCTCCTTTTGGTTTTTCGAGGGTAGATTCAAGTTCTCGGGGTAAAGAGGGACATTTTGGGGAAATTATGGGTTTTTTCGACCGCCGTCGGTGGTGCGGTGGAGAAAGGCTGGGAAGGTGTCGGCCATCAGTCGATCGGTTATAGCTTGAGAGGATTTCAGAGAAAGGGTGAGAGGTTATTTTGAGAAAGAGGGAAAATGAATGGGATTTAGGCATTTTTTGACTTATATACGACCCGTTGGACCTGTGGTTCGACCCAACCCGAAGGAAGGATCCACGTGTTTTCTAAGGTAAAAGGGAAAAATTGTTTTTTTGGTCCCTTATTCTTTGTAAGAATTCATTTTGGCCCTTTAATTCGAATTTAACCATGATTTTACTTTTAATTTTATCCCCTAATTTCATTTTCTTTTAAATTAGTCCTTTTTTATTTTTCGTGTTTTATATATTTTTTATTTCCAATTTTGTATATATGTTTTTATCGTTTTTTTCATATGTATATATTTATTATTATTATTTACCTCTTATTTTTTCCTTTTCTTTTATTCCATTTTATATATATTTTTTGGTTTATTTAATATTTTAATTATTTTTTATTTGTATTTTTTATTTTTCATGTGATTTGTTTTTTGTTTATTTATTTTTTTAAATTGTTTATATTTTTTATTCTATTTTTTTAATTTTAATTTTTATTTCTTTTAATTTATTTAGTATTTATTTATTTATTTATTTATTTTCTCTAACGTTCTTAACTTTGTAGATAAATTCCAACTGATCAAAGGTAAACAATTCGAATCGAATGTTTTTAATTGTAATTTAATTTTTTCGCAATTAAAGACAATTAGCAAACTAATTGGTACCGAAAGGGCAGTTCAAGGGTGTTAATCCTTCATTGACCGCAACCGACTACTGAACCAGACACATTTCTTGCAAAACGTAGATCAGATAAGATGGTGTCCGACCCACCTAAATTCATTTTAAAATGGACGATGGTGACTCTAACGCGCTTATTTCAAGTCGAAGCCCAATTTCGGGCCAAACTGAAAGACGACCGCGATAGCTTGGCGACTCCGCTGGGGACAGGTAAGTGAGTCAGGCCAGAATTAATTTTTGGTTGTCATTTTATGCGAAAATAGTAAATTTTAATTTTAATTTATTTATTCGATTCCAATTATTTACCTTTGATTATTTTTCAAATAAATAGTTGTACTGACATTTTTTTCAATGATTTCAGATTTTTGAAATGTTTCTAACTCTGGCTCTATACCCGAACTCCAAACCCTTTTTAAGTGAGGGTGAAAGCAACGCCTTCGTGAGAATTTATTCTCCGCACATGCCTAGCAAGTAACCTTCGGGATTCATATACCTTATGTCTTCGTGTGAATTTATTCACCGCATAGGCATAAGGGAATGTATCATCTCGAGTTTAACTTAGTCCACATAAGCTTGTAATGGGCTTAGGACTAAGGGTCTGACAAGCCCAATGGGGGACCAGCAAGGAGAACTCGGGTACCTTTTTATAACCTAAACCAAGAGACTACAAGGAATTAGAGCCCACCCCAAAGTCTCATTCCAAAACCTAGGCTACTTTGATATTATTTCCTGCTTTATTTCATGTTCAAAGCCTGTGAACTAGAAATTTATGCGGTTAGGACTTGTTCAAAATCAACTTGTGGGATAGAGATCATGTTTGGGTAGGAATAATAAGAATGTGGGGTAGGAATTTTTCATTTTCATTATTGTTTTGATTTACCTCACTAACTCTTTTTATTTTTGTTCTCTTTTATTTTTTTGAAATTTGCATCATTCAAAAGAGGTGTTGATCCACTAAAAACGTGTTCGTTAAACGTAAATAATCTGCATTAATGGACAAAGGTTATAATACAAGATATGAAAAGCTCAGAAGTCCAGCTATGGTCAGAAAAGACTCGGAATGGACCGGGTTTACACCAAGCACGTCAAAATTTAACTTTTCCAAAACGGCATGGCGAACGTTGCAGGGGCAAAACAAGAAAAGGTTATTGACCCGGAGAGTCCTTTCGGAGACTTCGAGAACAAGATGAAGAAACCCTAGCTAAGATGGATTCCATTGTTGATGGATTCAAGAAGCAATCAAATAACTTCATATTGTTCCCTTTAATAGAGGCTTCCAAAAGACGCTTTTGTTACGGGAACTAACTCAAAAGATAGTGGAAATCAGAGATGCAATCATTCGAGACTTTTTAAGGAAAACAGCTTGTCACTTGCACGGTTTAGCCAGAGAAGTCGGGAAGGTTTGACAGGGTATTTAACCGGTGACAGAAGAAAGGCGGAAGACGAATCAACCTGTCAGAAGTTGTTCGGGGTCTATAATTTTAAAATGTTTTTTGTCTCCTAAGACGTAACAATTTTGTCCCCAATAAGGATTATTTATAATAACAGATACATTTTTAGATCAATGCCTCGAACATTTCATACATCATGCATTCTTGCATATTTCGCATAATTTTTTTTGCATTCATATGAACTAACAAAAGATTTTCATAAAAAGGGGTACAAACACTGGACATACCTCCAAAAGCTTCAGACACGTGTCATCCTCATTCAAACCAAAAGGAAATGGAAGCTAAGATTGCTCAACTTGAAGAGAACATGCTAAGGTTACAGGAGGAACTGGAAGAGAAAATAAGTCAAAATTAACGAAATACCTTGGATTTCATCACTAGAAACCAGGACTTGTTGGTTTACCAGATTATTTCAAGGTTTTATGGCTTGAATCAAAGGAATGATCCTGGAGCTGAGGCATCTGAGGGGGTAGTTGTACTACCCACTCCATAGTTGACAATGTTACCTGGAATCTTACCAGGAAGTCAAGGAGATTCATCTGCCACGAAAGCACAAGCCTTTATGACCAACCTTCAAAATAATTCAGATTATCACAACATTCCGAGATTTGATGAGGAAGTCAAAACAAATATAGTAAAATCAACCATTAAACAATGAAGTAGGTTGAGTAGAAAACCTCCCCTGAATAAGAAAAAAGGGGAGATCATCAACATTTCAAAATCGTTTGCAGTCGTACCCTCTTCTAGGCAAGAACCAATGAGAGAAAATGAGCATTTCGATCCCATTCTCATGACATACAAGGAGCTCTACCAACAACTGTTTGACGCATATGTGGTGTCACCCTATCCAAAGACACCTCTAAAGCCCCCATACCCCAGGTGATATGACAAAAATGCACACTGTGAATATCATGGCGGTGTTCCAGGGCATACTATTGAAAATTGCCTCGCCTTTAAGATGATTATCCAAAGAATGCGCAACAGGAGTTGGATTCATTTCAATAATACAGAATCACCCCATATTGCACAGAACCCTCTGCCTAATCATCAAGAGAATGAGGAAAGTGTAATCATCGAGGAAAGGGTAAAAAGGCCAAAACTAGAGTTTCCGAAGTGAAGTCACCTCTTGCTTAGGTATGGAGGCAAATGATAAATGCGGGGTTTCTTGCACATCAGATTCCAAAGGGGGCAGACATTGTTGTTATCACAATGAAGATGGACATGATGTACAAGAATATGCCAAATTTAGAGCCTTGATCCAGCTAATGATGGACAGAAAATAACTGGAATTTTATGATGAAAACAATGACACTTCCAAAACAGAAAGAGTCATGGAAAGTGGGGCATCCTGATGAAGCCTTATTCAATTTTG